TTCCCATCTTCTGATCACAAATGGACACTGCCATCCTTGAATTTTAACTGCCTCATAGCACACACAGGTGGGATGTTTGCAAAAGCAAACCATTCCGTTATAATCTACAATTTTTTTCCTCAGCCCTTCAGCTAAATCATTCACTTAGGACTATTCCTGCCTCATCTACAGAGACCCTCCCCTCTCTGGCCAGCCCAATACCATCACAACCACATCATGCAATCCACCAAGGGCCAGAAGTGGATTTCCTGCCATTACACTAACCTCAGCCTACTAACTAACCTCTCAGCCTTTGGCTTTTAGACACAACAGTCTGAAGGTGATTGTCCCCACCCTCACTTCCAGCCATCAATCATGTCTATCTGGTCACCCCCAGCCCATCAACCCTATCCTGAATAACCCCTCAGCCTTCCCCCAAGTAGAACATCATTCAGCATTTCCATGTGTGCATAGCTGGTCACTGGACAGGAATGATGCAGCCTTTGTAATTCAGAAAACCCCTCTCCCTCATCTATCACCTACTGTGATAGATACAAAGGCACAGCATCTAACAGAGGGCAGCTTTTCTTTCCCTGTTACCAATTTCCAATTTAGGACTAAACAATTGTTAACCTACTTTCCTACATGAGTTGAATTTCATGGCTTTCCTTTACTCTCACTGCTTACACACTTCTTGCAGTTGTCTCAAAAGCTGCCCACAGAGTCTGTGAGCACCTAGCTTTCACAGCTAGCTGTTCTGAGCACTGCTACAGCACAGCAACTATACAACACCAAAGGCATTTGCCAAATGCCACATCTCCAAGAACATTTTTTGGACCAAGAGTGGTCAGAATACCTAGCAGAGCTTAAATCCTTTGTAAACAATACAAAATTGAACTGTAAGCTAAATGTTTTACAAAGCAAATATAAACCTCACCGTCATTTATGTTTTTGAAATGCTACCCTGTGTTACAAGATCACCAGGATGAGTTGAGCAATCAGACAATTATTATTCATCTGTCCCATAAAAGCACCTGAGAAAAGTGACAAAATGACAGTTTGGAGGCAATCTGAGCATCATGCACTACTGAAAACCTGCAATTTCACTTCAGGTGGCCTGGACTCCAGCTTATGTTCAATAGACACTCTCAAAACTTAATATGCTCCTAACCACTAAGAAAGAAGAAATTAATTCAACGGGGAACAATATTTTCCTTCTGCAAGTAATAATAAAAATATTTACTTATGAGGTCTTTTCCCTCTTACAATATCCAGGTAATATTTTGGCAGGGCAGTCCTGGCTCTCACCCACAAGTGAGCTAGAGCTTTGTTCTTTCCATGCACTGATTTCAAACTGCACTGGGTCACCCCAAGAGTTCCTTCCAAGGGGATATAGTTTCAGCACTAGCTCCAGAGACTTGAACTTCTTTCTCTACGAGGAGAAAAATATTTCTGTAATAGGTTGACCTTTCTTCAGATATGTTGATATCTGAAGGATGTCAGTTCATTGTGAGAATTTGGAAGCTGGCCATGACTCCAAAGGCTCCACATATTTTCAGAGTGACCATGCCTGTAATTTTAACCCATTGAAATGAAAGTGCATGGCTGGAGTAGTACATGCTTAAAAATCTCACTGTGACTCAAACACTGATTTATTTCCTGCAGCAGTGATTTGGTAGCATCATTTCCCAAAGGCAAAAGGCAACAGGTTTTATTTCTATGACCTTCCTGCATTCTTGCAACTCACATGAAAAGGAACAATGGAAATGTAGCTGAATGTGAGAAAGCACCAAACTGCTATGGCTTTTTGGGTGGGTGTGGAGAGAAACACACAAACTACAAAAAATCTAATAACTCCCCACCCAAGCATTGCTAGTGAATGACCTCACTGGTTTCCTACATATACTCCAGCAGCTTTCCTGCCATCACTCTGTTAAGCCAAGCAATGATGTCAACAGTCCACCTGCGAGAGTGATGTAGCCCTCTGGGTCATGGTCTCAGAGAACTTGGATAAAAGCTGTGCCAGTGTTAATTAAATGCACCTCTTGTTTCACTGCTGATTTCCTCTGATAAGACTCAGCTCATTTTTCCTGGAAAGACTTCCATGCTGTATGGGAACTGGAGCCAACCATAACACAAACCAAATATTGCTTAGAGAATATGAAGACAACATGCTAAATATTTAGTTTAAAAAAAAATCACTGTGTATCAGAGCTGGGATAAATACAAATCTCATTACTTTGCATGTGCTAGTGACAAGGCTAAACTACAAATGCTAGTCACTGTAGATAGTTTATTATCTTTCAGCAGTACTTACCTCTCTTATTTGTAATGCTCTTACCCATTACATTGGAGCAGAACTCTTAACAACCTGCTTTACTGATCAATTCTGACAGGTTGGAATATGAGAAGTTTGCCTGGTAAAAAATATGCTCTGAGAATGGCGTTTGACATTTAATTAGCATCAGAATTATCACTACAATTTTAATGAAAAATAGCATTTTTTTCCTGCCATCAGAAAAGCCTTAGCTGTAAGAAGGTTCTGAGCAGCTTAGGTATTAAGGAGCCTCTCCATTAATACAATTAGCCAGCAAGCAGTGGAAGGGAAAAAAATTTTGTACTGCTCCTTCTTCTTTTCCTACATAAAGAAATCTAGTCCACTGTCATGACTGGATCTTTTCACCATAGGCTGTCACTGGGATTTCTGTAATCCCTCTACTCACAACATTGACTTCCAACCATTCTAAGCCTTCAGGACGTGCCCTTTTATACTTGCTTTGTTCTTGTAGACATTTTCAGATAGCTTTATTAAGAGAAGCTATTATCAGATAGCTTTCTGTAAGAGAAATGCCAAGGGAAGGTTTTCAGTTTTGAAGCTAGACATGAAAAATATTTCTTCTTGCACCACTTAAAAAGTAACACTAACCCTAAGACATAGTTGCTGACAACAACGCACACAAAAAATCTGAAGGCGACAAATTAGAAAAGTGGTTTCAAAAGTCATGGTGCAACTACATTATAAAAGTTTGTTTCATGATGCTCACAACTCTCCACTCTGAAAGGCAGCAAGTTGGACCTCTTGCTATAAATTTAATTCTAAAGAAAGAACTGTGTGTTAACGATGTTAGGAATACATTCAAATTCATTCATTCATTCTGATTTGTAGCAATTGTGATGGTTCCAAGAACTGTTCTGTCCCACATTCCTGAGCATTACATTCCTGAGCATTAGCAATATTTTTCTAAACAACCAATGATCGATGTCCATGTATTTACATTTTTACCTCTTGGGGATCTTATGTTTATACAATACCTCGCCTACAAACTCTCTTGGAATACATAACACAGGCTATACTGCCTTCCCAGCTCAGGATATGGGAGAGGTTCCATGGCTAATACTGCTTCTCACCAAAGTCAGGCTAACTAACTTAGACGTACTTTTTACACTCTCCTCCAAAAAGAAATCTCATATACAAAATATCCTTCAAAAGAACTTAATTTTTTGGTTTCCAAATGGTAACAGAAAGAGGTAATCCTTGAACTGGTTTAGTTTATACTGCTCCTATGGACAGTTTCTATGGATTTATGACACCGAACTGCAGCTAGTTTATAGCAAAGCATGCAGGGTGTGACTCATTCAGAAAGCTCAACCCAAGAATATTTCATTCTGACATCCAACAGAAAAGCTCCCTCATGGATTTGAATTAGTTGTTGCCCATTACTCACATGCACTCCTTCTCATAACTTCATGACACACAACTTGCAGTGCAAACTTGAATCCAGGCCATGAAGGAGATACTAGAAGTTCTGACAAATTTTAACCCTGTCACCAGTAACTGGAATTTGGTCTTACACAATTTAAATACACAGCTGTGCTCTGCTTCTGGAGGATGTGCATAATGTGGTCATGCAGAAGGAAAGCGTATCCCCAAGTCCAGTGACTTAAAGTGACACAGTTTCCTGAACTCCAGGAACCCTCCTGGTCAGAAAGTACTTCCTTCCTCATTTCAAACACTTGATTGTTTTGGAGGGAATTCAGGACAATAGATTAGAAACTTTCAACCTTTCCTAAGTGTACTGCTGCACAAGGAAATCAGGCCGTGCTCTGGGAAGATGAGATAACATTGGGAGAGTACTCTTTCCGGAAACGCAATGGCTTTTACATCCCTTCTCCAGCACCATCCCATGAATCAGCTATGTGTAAGTAATAACTCTAGCTAGGAGATGTCAGATGCAGTTCAACTGCTGCTTGGATTAAGATGTACGTGGTTGGCAGAAGGCATGAGCCAACTCACTTCTCAGCTATTTCGATAAGGCCGGCAAGGGAAGAAATATCAGGAGCTTCCTAATCTGAGTCTGTACTTGTAAGGAAGGATAGGAAGAAAGGATGATGATTGCCTCTTTTTATCACCTCATTGCTTAAATCTCTAATAAAGGAGAAGGAATGTGCTATTACTTCTGCAGTTAAAAATCTACCCCTTCCCACCATAACTTACTTTTACAGCACCACTAGTGATGTTCATAAAGATTGAGAGCAGATCAGGCTCATCAGCTGAAGAGCAATTATTTTAAGCATACTCTATTCCCCAACACAATTCCTTCAATCTAAATGCATTGAAATGGTTTGTAATGATGGATAAAAGATTTAAAATTTAGAATAATATCTAGCTAGTTGTTTACAGGCTACAATTTGAATAAGAAAAGGCAACGACAAGTAAATTAATTTTTCTGTGGCATTAGGGTGCCTAAATACCCTAGACTAACCTACAAACAACAGCAACAGAAACAACAGCAAGAGCCATTCTCTCGGACCTGACAGTCAAAGCTCTTATATGACATTGCATTTTCTTGATTATCTTTTCCTATCAATGCAGATCTACATAAAGTTTGAGGATAAGATTATCACACAAAAGCAAGAACTCACATGGTTCTACACATTTATTTTTAGAGGCAAACAGGAAATGCACTTCCCTGTCAAGCTGGGTGAAAGGGGAGTTAATGAGTGGAATGCTTTGCACTCACCGTTCCTACCAGAGGGTAGATGAATCCAGCTCCAATGCTGGCTCGCACATCGCTAATCGGCAAAATGAAACCAGTGGGAACACCCTTCCTCTCAGGCTGATGGGAGAGGGATAGGTGAGTCTTTGCCATGCAAATGGGAAGATTTCCAAATCCCTAACAAAAAAAAAAAAAAAGGAAAAAAAATAAAAGGAAAATGTTTTTAAAATCACAGTTAAGGTACATTATGTTTTTGTTTTGTTATCAGTATCTTCTAGAAACCTCTCATACAGCAGTTCCCTTTGGGCTCTAATGACCCGGTTAGACAGCAACTTGACACCAGGATTCAGAGTCCAAAATTTTCTAAGGGTATTAATGTCTTTGTGGGGGTAAACACAGATGGTGCTCATGATGCTTTCCTTTCCTTTGTTTTTAAACAAGAAAAAACCTGCATGAGGCGATGGCACCCCCTTCACTAATGTCAGTGTGCTAATTACTGAAAATGTGGGAGAAAATCAGGAAAAGTGCCTCAGCAGCTCCCCCTGCCCATAATTTATCTCCAAGTTATGGATTAATCTTGAGTCAGGCACCTTCCACTCTTCTGTTCAATTCTTTTACAAACAGGGCAGGAGGAGAGGCAGCACTTCAGGGAATTGTCTCTGCAGCCCAGTGCTGACAACTCTTTAGGTGACATTGTGAGAATATTTCCTAAAATACTAACACTTAGACTGAAAAACGGATTAGAGAATCACAGCTGAAAAAAAAAAAAAAGGCATGGATTATTTAGCTTCAAGTACACTAAGAAACCTTCTTTTCCATTTAGAAAAATCGAATTAATTCTCAGGAAGTTTGCATTTTAGGGAAGATGGCTGTCCACCTGTCTGACCAAGGATTTCTGCTTGTCTGACCAAGCTGCTGAAGTTTACTCTGGAATTTTTCCTGGACATAACATATTGTTTCTATTTTCTGACAGAAAGGCTCCAGCCACATTTATGTTCAGAAGCCATTCCACTACAAAAAACACATTCACCTCTCCACATGGTCTCAAAACTTTTCAAACTGTAACATGCTCTCACATGCTTTAGGATAGGTGATGTATTTCATGTTCTAGTATTCATAACTCCTTGAAAGTAATAGGAACAGAAAGAAATCAGAAGATTTTACAAATATTGGGATCTTTATTATCAATGTGTATAGCTGTGCACAGGTCTTACTGTGTTTGCAAACTCTTTTTTGAAGGTAGAAATGAACACTCTCATGCTAAAATTGGTTACATTTGCTAGCAGCAACTTTTGCAGATACACAGTTGTCAGGTTTAGGAGAGTAACCCAAACTGCACAGAAAGTACAGTTTCATGGACAATCTCAGAAGTATTCTGAACTCCATTCATATCTCACAGGAGATGGCCTTCAAGGTTAAAACCATTCTGTTCTACCAAATCCAAACCAACCCATACTGACCTCCACAGTTCACCACCATGGGTAAGCTCATGCCTTTCAGCAAAGCTTGACTTAACACTCCAGTCTGAGAACATTTACACCCTGAGGTTTCCCAAGACTCACATCCAACAGGTACCTGCCTGCACAATTCCCTGGTGCTCTTACCTGCCGGGTGTAACGATCAACCTGAGACTGGGCAGCAGGAGACAACTCGATATCCTGAGCTCCATACACCTTCTGAGCAATGATCCTTATTTTTTCAACAATAGGAAGCTGCAGAGACAAGGAAACAATACAAGGATGAACATTGGCCAAGAGAAATTAGGATCTTGTTTGCTGAGTGAGGTCTCTGAATCTCTCATTTAGATTCATCCCTGTTAAACAGTCTTGCTAAAGCACAAGAACAAGTAAGGAGCAGTGGTGATGCATATGATACACAGCTACAGGTACATGAACTAACAGCTGTGATTTCAGCTACTCCATCATTTGGAAGCTGCACAATTTTTGCCTTACAGAGTAGACAACGTGAACTTATGCTCACCTGAAGTGGAGGGAGAAAATTACTGCCATCTAGTTATGAGAGTGAAGAGATAACCTGCACCTCAATCTCCACTGGGTTAACAGGGATCACTAGACAGAAGAGTTTCATTTCAGAATAAAGATAACCTACATGAGTAGACAAGGCAAGGTAGGAGGCAGCCAGGGAAGGTTCCCCTGAGAAGTGAGGAATTGTAGCAGAAAATTCCTGATCACTGCTCCTTTGATTGTGATTTTCTTTCATTATTATTATTCTTACCTCCCATCCTTTCTAACAGGCATATTTTTAGTTGTAGCTTTGATATTGTAAAGCACTTTGGACACTTGAAAAAATAATATGAAAGAATTCTAGAATTCATTTTGAAACCCCAAGTCACTAAGTTTAATCCCAGTCTCCAAGAGTAGTCACATCATGTTATTCAGCTCAAACTGAACAAGTTCTGTCTTCACAGTTCTATTTGAAGGCAGAGGCAGACTCTCACATTCAATCTGTTACAAAACCCTTAACATATTTTCAAGAAACAGGTTTTTGTGGTCAGATCAGGCATTTACTTTTTGTGCCATCATTTTTGTGTATTTAGAGTAAACAACTCTTTCCTATTTCCTTGTTCTCTTTCCTTTTGTTTTTAATGACCCAGAAGACAGCAATTGTGACTCCTCTGGCCTATTTTAAACAAGCCATTCTCTGACTTCTTTCAGTAGGAACAGGATGATAGAAGAGGGATCTTACCATGAGTTCAGATAATTCTGTGCTCACTATAGATGGCCAGAGATGTGTGCAATATTAAAGGGAATATCTCATCAGTAACTTGTAGAATATTTAATTAACAACACCCGCAGAATAAGTGCTAAACAAAGTCTAGAGAGATAATCACTTGGGGAAGAAGACTTGGTAATACAAATACAATCCAAAAAGCAATACAAAAAGCACCAGGACACAAAATAGAAGTGTATCATTTTATTCTAACAAAGGCAAGAAATTAGTTAATTTGTGAATAATGAACCCTATCTGGTGCATTTATAGGAAGTTCCATAGTTAACCACATTTTTGCAATACCTGTCTGGAAGTAGTTCTTTTTCTGCAAAGATACACCAGTTGAAAGGTTTGTGTCAGGCCAATCTTTTTTGTATTTATGATTAATTTTAGAAAAATTAAAGCTTACATTAATAAAGAACTTCAGTAACAGAGGTATCACAAGAAAAGAATCTCTCCAGACTTCCAAGTACCTTAAATGTAAGGCAGTTAAAAGCTACTAAGGCTCAGATAAAATTCCCCCTCAGATCTGAAATTACAAAGACAGGTTTAAAGAAGCTTCACAAGGCACTTTCTGAACATGCTCACGATACAATTACTGCACCTTAATTGGGTGGAATAATGTCACATTCCCAACATCAGGCTTTTTACAGGAATCTAAGCAGTGCAGGAAAATCTAATCAGGACTGGAGACAGCACATTGCAAATATCCTGGGCATAATTCCTGGCAGCAGCAAGCTGAATGGAATATTTAGTGTCATGGACAGCCATCACAAGATGAAATTTGTCTCAGGGTGATTATTAAGTACGTTCATATCCATGGCAGTTTTCAACACAGTGGGAGAAATGCAAAACATGTCTGCTAATTTGCCTTCTGGGTGCTGTTTGCTTGCAGTAAAGGACTAACAGCAATGGCAAATGGAAAGGCAAAAGGAATTCCATTCCTTGTTGTCAGCAGGCCAACATGGAAACTAACAGCTTTCTGCTTAAACCTCAGTAAATTCACTGAGATGGAGATGGACATTTAGATTCAACTTGCATTTGTGTCAAAACATTTTAAACTAATTTGACAGCAGTATAACTACTGCGCCTTCAGCCCCCTTCCAATGACCACAGCTGTATTTTCCAAAGAAACCCCGCAGGGCTCTGGATAATATCAGAGGAGAATGCTTTAATGACAGTGGTGGCACTTTGCTTCTCCTGGGATATGTGCAGTGTGTTGCATGGCTGAGTCTGAGCTGGACAGTCAAACCATATCCCTGTGGAATTATGGTTTGTGTTTCTTTCCTGGTTTGTTTTTTCTTTAACCAGAATTTCAGATACTTTTTGGGTCAGTACCCACACCTCGAATTTTGCAAATGTAACCTCAGAAGAATCATCAATGAGGAAGGGGTTGTGGGAGTGTGAATAGCAAAAAAAAAGTGGTTTCCTGAGCCTGTCATGTTCTTGCCAGGCATGCTCACACAAACAGGTGAGGCAATGTGTGCATGGTGTCAGAGGAGAGTTTGAGCCTCAGCAGAGGCAAGATGAGTCTTGGCTGAGCCAAACTGAGACAGAAACCGGCAGGAAGGCACAGATGTGCTATGGACATCAACATAGCCCATGTACATGCACACTCTCAGATATGCTTCCTTCCTGAAGTTTCAGGAGTAGGGAAAGGAGTACACTACACCATAGTAAGGATCCACCTGTTTCCTAGTATTTATTGTGATTTATTGTGATTTTTTTTCGTAATTTATTGTGATTTTTAAAGCATTATCTATTTAGAATCACAGTGTATCAGGGCATTTCAAGCGAAAAAGTTTCCTGTGTTTCCATTATCAAATAATACTGCTAGGAAACTTCATTTTAATTTAAAGAAATGTTTTCCAAACTAAAAAAACACCAATGCTTTACACAGGAAATAAAAATCAATTTTGCTCGAAAGTGCCATAATGTTATTTTAACAGAAAAGAAGTTCTACTTGTTCAAGAGGCATTTTACATAGCAGAAGCCTGGATTTACAAGACACTTGTTTAGCTTTAGGTTTTCAAAAAAACTGTTGATTATTCAGCACTTCACTATCAAAATAGCCTCACTGATGGGCAAAGACATCCACTGTATGTAGCAACAATACTAATTCACATGGAGAAGGGGGCTGAAAAGTTAAACCCCTACTGCACAAGTAGATAAATCATTAGGGGATTTTATGCTGGATTTTTGCTCCACCTGATACCAGACTTACCTATAAAAAAAAATCATGTGAACTACCTGTTTGTGCCTTATATACTTTGGTCAAATGTCTGCCAGCAGAAACCACATATCTCAGATACTTAAAAAAAAAGAGTAATTTCACATCTGCTGTGGTTTGGGAATGGTACTCTCCAATTCTTGGTGTCCCCACCAAGACTCTCCAGGAATTCCTTCTCCCAGGAAGCAACTCCTTTTCCCCTGCCCCCATGATGTGACATTGTATAGAATAACCTCCTGGTCTGCCCCCTTTGTACTGCTGCAAAAATTAACCCTGTCCAGCCAGAAGTAGACACCATCTCTCACTTTTTCTTTCATCTGAGAATTTTTTACAATGGCCTTAGGAATTTCCTGAACTGGTTGTTCATTCCCACTGGCAAACTCCAGTGCTGCACCCTTAGCTGTGCTGATGCAACCACTTGCAGGCCATCACCAGAAGAGTCTTAAGGAAAGGAGGATTAAAATTCTTAATGGGGAGTGTTGATGCACCCATATCAACAACAACTTGATTCCACAGCACCTCTGCCACCTGGAGAGCTAGGGTGAGAAGGAAAGCTGTAAAATGTCTAGGGTGTCAAAAGCATGAAAGATTTATGTTCAGCAATAAAAGCTGTCCCTCTTCTCAGTTCCCTTATGTAAAGTTGTGACTGTTGCACAACTAAGTAGATTTAGGTGAAGATTAGGTGACAGATAGACAATAGACACTATAGATTTGGAGAGAACCTGACTTTTATAGATATGCAACTACCTATCAGTACCACTGCTGAAGGAATTATGGCAGCTTCAGAGAATTTGTTCCAAATTCAACTTCAGCTTCCTGAGAAAATGATGTCATAAAATACTTATGTAAATTTACATTGAATATAAGAGGATGCTTCAGGGCCACACAATACAAATATCTGCAGACAATTCATTAGGATTCTCTCAGAAACAACCAATCTTGTCACTCCTGCCAGAGAGAATGTTCACTTCTGAAATCTCACACATTTAGAGCTACCAAAGCCATATGCTGCTTTTCAGGCAAGCACAAACACACATGCTTGCTGAGGCTGCCAAGCACCCACACCATAAATGAGATTATCTCCTAGGCTAAAGTATAAAAAGTGCTAAAGCACAAACTGTTTTCACAAAAACAGTATATATGTACCTGTACATTTCATTACTTGATAGAGAATAATTAAACCATGAAATCAGCACTGATAAAGGTGAGAGCCTATCATTCCCAGGATTGTGTTGAGTATCTAAACTGAATCACACCGATAACACTGATAACACACAGTGTTATCATCCAGCCATACTGCCACTTCCAGTCCATCTCACTTGCAACACATGATATTAGTGCCAAGTGGTGGTGCTTATTACAAAATCTTCTTTCTTCCCTTACTATTGACAGCAATGTTTTCATTAAAACATAATTTATTAGTCCTTAATTTCTGCTAACATTTTCTCACATTTCCTTCATCTCTTCCTTCACTTCTAACAGCTGACTTCAGATTTTCTGTTTTTCATGTAGGGCTTGATAAGGATTTCCATGGACAGCAGACCAGCTACAATAGATCTTCCTTTCACCCTTGTATCCTCTGCTGCTCACACTCACCCAAGTGCCAGTGCAACCGAGGCAGCAGCGCTGTTTGTGCAGCTGCACATACCAGAGACAGTCAGCCTGGCTAAAACATAGCCCAGGGAAAAAACCCTATTGCAACCCCATATCAGTTCACACATCCACCTTATCATAAAGGCAAAGCTCGTGTGC